TGCATTCTTGATGTATGAAAGGCGCTATATAAATAAAGTTTGATTGATTGATCGATTGATTGATTGATTGATTGATTGACTGATTGATTGAGTGGCAAACAATGGAGCAGACCTGCAGGGAGAAATTGCCCAGACATACATGCCTTCGTCTTTTGTGGTCTCTACTTGTCGAACTGTCCCAGCTTCATATTCTATGGTCTGGATTTAGCAAAACACAAAAGGAATATTTCTGCTGTGTCTGAAATCCTTTGTTCACTTCTCCATACAGACATTTATCTTACTTGATAGTGACACTTATCATCGGCATTGCAGTGTGGGATTGTTAGATAGCAGTTTTCATGCTGCAGACACAATTTTGAGGACAGCATATAGTGGAAACTTTTACATCCTCAGAATTCAGACATTCTAATGAAATGGTAGACAGCAGATGCAGTGCAGTATGCAGTAAACAGGGAGTGACTCCAGCAACAGGAAGAATATGAATTGCTTAGATGAATACACTCCAGCCCCATTCAGACACGATTTACATTTCAGGGGGGACTGGAGAATAAAATATGCACTGTGCACCTTGATCCTTTTTTCCCCCTTTCCTTTAGGGATCTTAATCAAATTTGCAACAGAATTGGATGATACTGGGATTCTATCTGAGGAGGGAGAGGCGTGCATGGGTCTCAGCACCACAGTTAATGGTACTTCCACGCCAATGATATCTAAAAGATCCTGTTTGTCCATGTCCCTTGGGGCAGGCTTGCTCCTCAGCGGCAGTCTGCCGCTATAGTACCTGACCTTTGGGGTCTGGCTGGTTATTTAGTGAGCTGAGGGGCTTGGGGTTTGTGGCAGAGCTTCCTGAGCTCCTCTGTGAGCAGCATACCAATGAGGTCCTGTAGAGGGATGTAGAGCTTCAGCAAGAGCTGCAGCAACTCTATTACTGTCTGGGGATTCATGATTGAGGGGCGGATCAGTCTCTTTCTCTGCTCTCTGGTCTTATCCCTCTTCTGCGTCTGGTCACTGATCTCCAGGACCTTCAACAGATAGTAATCTACCAGTCATCAGGGGCCTCCTCTTTGTTCTGGCTCACCTAACATTGCATCTCCTCCCTCTCTGCTTCCTCCTGCTCACTGAGTGCCCTGTCCATCTCTTTGTGGCTCCCAGTGACCATCTTATCAGTCTCTCCTCCACGAGGACCCACTCCTCTCCTTTGGCCACATCCTTGCAGGCCTGGCTTCTCAGGCTGAATTTGTTCTCTTACTTCTCATTGTTGTCCCTGAACACATCTCTCTCTTGACCAGCAATTGTAGGCATCCACCCTTTATAGCTCTTTAAAGATGAGGCATAAACTGGCAAAACTCTGGGTTGTGTATTGCTCATCCAAGTCCTCTGTGGCCTGCTTGGAAGTGATGGTATTCTCCTCGTCCTATAAATTCAGCGGATATCTCTTTTTTTTTTTTTTTTTTTAATATCTTTTTATTGATTTTCTTGAGCAACAATACAAATACAGATCAGTAGTACACATCTCTACAAGAGACAACCAGTGTGACCTAAGCGTCGAAGAAACAAGAGTAACATGGCAATTGGAACTTCATGTGATACAACAGTATTTGTATAGTGCCTATAATAAGGTATAATAAGGCTCAGTGCCTATAATATAAGGCACTGAGCCGAGGACATGTCCAAAACATATGCAGGTGGTTAGCTGGGGCTTGGTGACATCTGTTACATTCACTATTTTTGTCAGGGAATATTTTGGCAAGTACAGCATTAGTATAATGAGCTCTGAAAAGGATCTTGCATTGCAACAGGCCATGTCTTGCACATATGGATGAGGAGTGTACCAGACGTAGACTTTTGTCCCAGCTTTCGTCTGAGATTACAACACCAAGATCCTGTTCCCAAGAGAACTTGAGAGAGGCAGTCGGGGATGAATTCAGGGAGCTGATTCTGTCAAAAATAACAGAAACAACTCGCTTCTGGTTCGGTGACAGTGTAAGGAATTGGTCAATTTTGGCTTCAGGCGGGCGATTGGGAAAATGCGGAAATTGTTTCTGCACAAAATGTCTGATTTGGAAAAAACGAAAAAGGTGAGTGTTGGGCAGGTTGAATTTAGCAGAAAGCGCTGCAAAAGAGGAGAAGGAGTTGTTCTCGTATAAGTCGTTTAAAGCTATGAGACCATTAGCAGCCCGAAAACGAAAAGCAGGATCTGAAAGAGAGGGGGAGAAGATATGATTATTTAAGATTGGAGCACAGGTCGAAGCCCTGTGGAGTCCATAACGTTTCCGGAATTGGAGCCAGATCTTAATAGTGTCAGAGACAACAGAGTTGTTGGAGTTGTTTGACAAATTAACAGGGAGTTGTCAGCATATTACAGAAGAGAGTGAGCTTTTGGATGAAGAGAGCTCTATGTGGACCCGGGGGGGGCAGTCAGCGGGTGAATTACAGTTAAGCCAGAAAAGGAGTTTTGCAATGTTACAGGCCCAGTAGTATTGATGAAAGTTTGGAAGGGCGAGGCCGCCTTCCGATTTTGGTAACTGAAGAATTGTTCTTTTGAGGCGGGCAGGTTTGTTGTTTCAAAGAAAGGAACTCAGGAGACGATCTAGTTCGACAAAAAATGTTTTGTTTATAAAGACTGGAATGTGCTGGAAAAGGTACAAAAGTTTAGGTAAAATAATCATTTTTATCAAGTTAGTACGGCCAGCAACTGATAAAGGGAGGGAGGCCCATCGGGATAAATCAAGTTTACATTTGTCCAGTAACGGCTGAAAATTTTTGCAAAATAAATCCTTGAAAGAGTTTGTTACATGTATCCCCAAGTACCTGAATCCTCCAGAGGCCACCTTAAAGGGAAAAGCAGTCAAAGAGACAGTCTTTGCCAGAGGGTTTACTAGAAATAATTCACTCTTTTGGAGATTTAATTTATAGCCGGATAACTTGCTGAAGCCAGCGAGTGTATCTAATATTGTGGGGAGCGAAGAAAGCGGGTTAGAGATGTATAATAAGAGGTCATCCGCGTAGAGTGAAAGTTTATGAACTCTACCATGGCGAACAATGCCTTCAAATTTGACGTTGCTGTGAAGCCAGATGGCCAGAGGTTCGATGGCTAAATTAAATAATAGTGGAGAGAGTGGGCAGCCTTGATGCGTACCACGCTGAAGAGGAAAAGGTTTTGAAAAGTTACCGTTAGTACATACCACTGCAGTTGGGGATGCATATAAAAGCCGAATCCAGGATATGAACTTTGGATGAAAGCCAAATTTTTCTAGAATGAAAAACAGGCCTTCTCCGCGTCGAGAGATACCACGACTTCTGGGTTGTTTGATGGGGGAGAGTATATGATGTCGAGTAACCTCCTGGTGTTAAAGAATGAATGTTGTCCTGAAGTGAAACCTGTTTGATCAGGAGAAATTATAGATGGTATTACCTGCTGAAGGCGGGTGGACAGGATTTTAGACAGAATTTTAAGGTCGACATTTAATAAAGAAATTGGTCTATAACTACCACAGAGGGATGGGTTTTTGTCTTTTTTGAGAAGTAAGGAAATGGAGGCCAGTGAGAGGGTGTCCGGGAGCCTGCCTACAATAAAGGAGTCATTATACATTTTAACCAGTATTGGGATTAGCTGAACAGAAAAAGTTTTATAAAATTCGACGGTAAAGCCATCAGGGCCTGGGGACTTCCTGCTTTGCATTGAGCTGATAGCATCTTGTACTTCTGCAGCTGTAATAGGGGAGCCCAACCTCTCTGACAAAGCTCCATCAATTTTAGGGTACTCCAATGAGGAGAGAGGACTGGAGGATAGCTCGCTAGACGAGCACTCAGAAGTATAGAGACTGGAGTAGTATTCTTAGAAAGCAGAGTTGATATCAGATGGGTCTGAAACGGTTTTCCCTGAAGATGAGGTAATTTGAGTAATAAGCCTAGAAGCGTCCACTGCTCTGGCCTGTTGTGCCAGAAGCCTGCCTGCTTTGTCTCCCTGCTCAAAGAAAAGCTGTTTAGTTTGTCTCAACTGCCTCTCTGCTGTGTGCGTAGTCAAGAGGTCGTATTCTGAGTGCAGTAGGAGCCGTTTTTTGTATAAGTTAGGAGAAGGAGTGGAAGCATACGCTTCATCGAGATTTTGTAACTCCTTCTCAATTGTTTGCAGCCTCACCCTTTCAGCCCTCCCCGCCTGTGACACGAATGAAATTGTTTGTCCGGATAACAGCCTTAAGGGCCTCCCAGAAAGTTCCAATTGTGACGTCAGCCGTATCATTAATTTCAAGATAGGAACTAATCTGTCCACTTATGAATTCTTTAAATTTAATGTCAGCCAAATTTTGTGAGGGAAAGTTCCAAGGTCTTAACGAAATCTTACCAGTCGGGAAGTGAATGTCAGCGGAAGTAGGGCCATGGTCAGAAACAGCTATGGTATGATAATCACAGGAGCTAACTTGGTGTTGTAGTTTGTTATCAATAAGGAAAAAGTCAATTCTTGAGAAGGTGTGGTGTACATGTGAAAAGAAAGAAAAAGCTTTACTGTTGGGATTTCTGAATCTCCAAGGGTCGGAAATACCTAACTGGGACATGTAATCCAGTACTGTTTTGACTGATTTCGAAGATGGGGAGTTGCCAACATGGGATCTGTCTAGGTTAGTATTCAGAACCAAGTTAAAATCTCCACCAATGATTAAATGGTGATCATCTAAATTTGGCAGTTTAGCAAAAAATTTGAGAAAGAATTTTTCATCATCCCAGTTAGGGGCATATATAGAAGCCAGAACAACTGGGGTGTTCTGTAGGGAACCTGTGACTATAACGTAACGGCCATTGGTATCTAATGCAGTGTGTGAGGGTTCGAACATAACATTTTTCGAAATGATGACGGCAGCCCCTCTTGACCTGTCAGAGAATTTCGAATGAAACATATCACTCATCCAGGCTCTTTTAATACGAGAGGTTTCAGACGATCTGAGATGAGTTTCCTGTAAGAATATTATGTCCCCCTTAAGATGTTGTAAACGTGCCATTACCTTACAGATTTTGATGGGTTTGTTCATGCCATTTGTGTTCCAGGAGATCAAGCGTAAGTCTTTACTGAACTGACTCATAGCGTTGGGATCCTAAAGAATGGTACCGTGGTGAAGTGATGCAGATTCTCGTACCTGAAGTGAGATAAAGAGTGAGCGAGATATATATACACAAAAGAAACAAAACAAAACAACAAAAAAAAAACACACAACCATGAATCCAGTAGTGACCAAACACTGAGTTAAACCTGAGTACAAACCGTTTTTGAGCATCACAGCTCAAACTTCCAGATTTTCTAATATCATCCAGGATCTCGCATCCCTTAAACTATGATAAAGAACCCCAATGACTAAAAAAACAGGAAAATAAGGGGATAATAACTCAACAGCTGAACTGTATCACATGAGAAACATGTCAAAACAACTTCAGATTAGAAAGACATAACCAAAAAAATCTGAGAGAAACAAAACTAGGATATCCATTAATTCAACATGGTTCAGTATAGCCACCAACCTGAACACTAAACTTAAATCTAGCCTCATAGGCATGTGTTTTTTAACGTTAAGAAATAGATAGCGAAAATAATAAAAATAAGTCAGTAATACAAGTTGCAATGCAAATATGAAACACAGGATGCACACGTTATAAAACTTGGAACAGGTGTGAGAAGAGTATTGTTCAAGGAGAGTACAAACCGTGGGAGATTTAGTACTGCAGAAATCCAGTGCCACAAATCAGAGTCCAATATAAAATTAAAGTTCTAATAAAAAACATAAATAAAAGACAGGTCCCTGAGATATGGTGACAATGAGCCTAAGATCACAATCCGGGATGAAAAGTTAACAAAGATGTGAACACGATCGGCAGTGCTCTCCCAGCTTGTATGTTAGGCTGTCCCGTTAGCCTGGTAAGGCTTGTTAGCCCGTGTTGGAGGCTAGTTAGCCCGTGTTAGCATCGGGCCGCCGGCGGGTGATAGTTATTACAATAAAGCCAAAGAAGGCGTCCTGAGTAACTTTAATGAGACAGGGGGTGTGAATGGAAGATATGAATTCTTTGGCTTCTGCCACCGAGGAGAATTTCTTCTTACCCCCTTCCTTGGTTGTGATGGTTAGCCTAGCGGGGAACAGCAAGGCTGGTTTGAGGCCAAGATTGTAGAGCTCCGAGAGCACCTCTCGGAACTTTCTTCGTTGTTCCACCACTTCTGGAGCGTAATCCTCATAAATAGCAATCTGAGACCCACAGTATTGCAGGTTTCCTCTCCTGGATCTGGCCTCCCGTATGATCCTCTCCTTCAGTTGGTAGCGGTGTAGCCTGATGATAACGGCCCTCGGTCTCTCCCCTGGCTTCGGTCTGGCAGCTAGCGTTCTGTGTGCTCGGTCTAGCTCCGGTGGTGAAGGCAGGATATCCGTTCCGAAGACCTCGGCCAGCAGTTCTGAGAAAAAGACGGTGGGGCGAGGCCCCTCGATAGCCTCAGGAAGCCCCACAATCCTAATATTGTTACGGCAGCTGCGGGACTCGAGATCGGTGACTTTATCCTGTAGCTTAGCATGGCTATCCACTAGCGTGGCACAAGTCGTCTCCAGAGTGAGCAGGCGTTCATCTTGGAGGTTGGCATTCGACTCTAAGGAAGCAATTTTTTGGCCGTGCTCAGTTACCGCAGTTTGTATGCAGTCAAACTTTGCCTCCAGTGTCGTGAAAGCAGTCCTGAACTCAGCGAGGATAGCCGTCCGATGTTCATCTAGGATGCTAGCTATTGCATCCATGCTGATGGGGTCGCTAGCCATAGCTTCGTTAGCCTTCATGGTTTCGACTTTGGCATTCGAGTCTTTTTTACCAGATTTGTTGGGTTTTGATGCCATTTCAACCTGCAGCAGGGCAACAGCTGTTATATTATCCTTTGACTCTGCATTAACAATGACGTTATGGGGTTGAAAAGGGTAAAAGTGTAAAAGTTACGGGAGCGAAACTCAGACACCGTCTACTCCATCTGCCCCTCCTCCGGAAGTCAGCGGATATCTCTTGTGGGGTCTGGGGAAATTGCTCCTAAATCCCGGTGGCATTTTAACCACTGGGAAATGACAGTATGTGGTCTGTAATAGAAACTCCAGTACCTACCTGCCTGTTCTGACCTACATGAGAGACAGGTAAAGTAATGCCTGGTACACACTACACAACACTTCTGTCCATTCCAACAGTCACTATGTCACATTACGCGATTGTGGAGTCATAAAATTGCGCTGTGACTTGGCCAACAGACATGACACACTACACGATGGTCCACACCAATCATCCCCGGTCGTCTTTTACAATGTGTGCGATGTCATTGGGTTATTCTTGTCCTTTTTTTATTACTTTTACTAGTATTTCAGTCACTGTGTCTGTTCCTGTCCCAGCAGAAATGTTGTAGTAACGTAAAATCTGCCACCAGATGGCAGGAGCTACATTTGAAGTGCCGTATGCAAACATGAAAGTCACTGAATCCTCCACAAGAAGTTCTGGCAAACATTTCACAATGGAAGCCTTTTTAGAAAAATGAAGAGATTCTCTCAACCAAAGTTATGAAGGGCTTTTAATTTGAAACAGATACAGGAAGTCTTGAGTTTGAAATGACGGTGCGATGCATTAACTTTATCAAGGCCAGGGTTCCTACACATTTGGAATTTCAAAATTCCATACTTTTCCATACCCTAATTTCCAGACATCTCTGCGCTGTTTTTTTTTTTTTTTTTCCAGAATATGTGACATCTGAGTAAATATATCAGTGTATCATATTTCACATCATATTTAATTATTCTTAATAGGCGATTGTAGCCAAGTACCATAATGGCATGCAAATAAAAACTCAGGTAAGTTCAATGTCTGGGCTGAGGCAAAACGGTTGGGACTCTGGGTGCAAGCGATGCAGTAACGAGACGTCGGTGTTTTTTCCTTTAATGTGGCTCAGAATCGCCTTCTCCCCCATGTTGACGATGTCAAACGATTTCACACAAAGCTTGCATCTAGCTCTGTGTGTGAATTGGGAATCCTTGGCCAACCAGTATTTATATATGGTATTGTCAAGCCATCCATCCAAAAACTTGCATCTACCCATTGTGAACCACGTGAAACTCGTCTTCTTGTTGAAGGTGCAGTGTTGGAGTGAAACTTGATACCTGGGGGGCTGGAGGAGGGTCATGGGGCAGCGGACTGGACATACCACTTGTCAATCAGGTAAAAGGGGCGGTATGTTTTCTGAGACGTTTGCTCTCACACAAACTGTGCTTGGCCCGGCATAAAACACGATCCGGATTGATTAAATTATTTTTGGAAATACCTAATTTTCTATTTTAGAAAACAATATTTTAGAACAGTGGTAATAGTCTGGAAACATAAATATTTTTCCATACTTTATTTTTCATTTTCCATACTTTTTAATATCTGGAAATTGATCAAATTTATTTCCATACTTTCCATACTTGCATAGGAACCCTGCAAGGCAAATGGGAGCGGATAAAAAGTTAAAATATGTTCTGTTGGATCTCATAAGGTATTCTATCGGTCAAAGTGACGGCTGTGATGGGCGTGACAGTCGTGAATGACAAAAAGAAAATCAAACATGCAAGACTTCTGTCAGGACGCTGTGAGGCGTCCCAGACGTGGAGTCAGTTGTCTTTAACTATGACTCACTACATGAGATGAAACAATGGCTTATCTTGTTCAACTCCATGCCGACACAGTACGTTGCTGCGTCGAGCTAGAATCCGGCTGATATCGCGTAGTGTGTACCAGGCATAATTTAACAGGTTGGGGGATTGACTGATTATCTGCTCAGCCTGTTGTCACTAATCAAAGGGTTATAATTCAGGTCTTTCTTTATTCCTCTACAAATGAATGTTTTAACAGCTCAAACAGCTACAGTTCCTCAGCTCTTACACAAGCTGCGTACAAAACAGCAGGGGCACATAAACCACCTTAACATTGATTGTTTCTGTTGTTGAATTCTTGTCTCACTTGTCTCTTGACTCACCCTGTCCATACACTGTTTTTCTGTTCTCCTTGACTGAAGTGAAATCAATAAGAGACCTCAGTTTTACAACTAGATTCACCCCAGCTGCTGTTTACCCAATATCTATGTGAACCAGTTCCACCTCAGCCTCACCCAAAACTTTGGACTTACAAAAAGTTGTTGCTTTCCTCATCACTCCAACAAGTGTGTATCATATATATATGTACAAACACAACAACACTGGAAATTATTGATATCAGCCAACTCTGCTACTGTCTGATGCTTTTGCACTAAACTCACTCAGATCTTCAAACTGAAGAATGTTGAGTCTGTGTCAGGAAATGAGGGTGATTTTTTTCCAGGGATTTTTGGGAACATCAGTCATCTCTACTCGACCTTTGTTTACTGGATCACAAGGGATCAGCAAGAGTTTTAATACCATAACTACATAACTGGCTTTGGGTATCTGCCAGTAATACAGTAAGCATGGAACACAGATTCATTGTACTTTGAGTGTGGAGTATTTAATTAAATGTGGGGAAGTTATGCTTAACTGAAAGACAAACACAAGACATTAGAGATGCCCTCTTCCACTCTGGACATACTTTCATAAATAAGCATTGGCTTACAGTAAATAATTATTTAATCAACATATAGGTATAAATATCGGTTCAGACTCTGTATCGGCAGATAACCTATATTATAGGACCCTGATTGGGATCACAGGCATTCCCACAAAACATACAAACAAAGAAAACATGGCATCCATGACACCATCGCATTGTACCAACAGGCTGCATGAAGTGACTGCACATATTTGCCTAATTAACTCTTTTAAGTTCCCATGAAATGGCTAGCAGAGTGCTGTGCATATTTCCATGTTTTCCTGTAAAAACAGGAAACCAGGGAAGGACATATTACTGGATACAGGTTGGGGCTTACAGCAGCCAATTTGATGTCACAAGCAATGGGACGATGAAGGAGGCTCAGTCAAAATTGCAAAAGCTAGCTTTGCTAACGGTGCTAATAGTGCTAACAAGGCTACAGTGCTGACAGAGCTAATGGTGTTAATGGGGGTGACCTGTGGGGAATTGGGAAGGTGGGCATTTGGCTTCCGCAACAACGCCGTCCCACCACTGTGGGTCGGGAGAGTGTTAT